TGTGAAGGTGTGAAGAAGGAGAAGAAGAAAGAAGCAAGGAAACGAGTTGTAGTGCAAAGATCCAAGGGCAAATCTGAGTTTATTGAGGTATTTTCGGAGTTCCCTTCTTGTTATATGCCTTAAACTTCCATTAGAGCTCTTCTAAGAGCTATTTGATGTTTGTTCCAAGCCTTATGTTTGCATGAATGTCTTAATAAGTCGAAATACCTTTGGATCTGAATGTTGGGGTGTTGTAGAGCCCAGATCTACTGTCTTTTTGGAGTTACATTGCATATTAGCCATGGATCTACTCATTTTGTGCATCTTTTAGCCCTATTTCCCTTATTCATGAGGTTGTGCACGTAAAGTTGGAAACTTTACGTGGTAAAACAGCTTATTGGACCCAGATCTATCATTTTCATGTGTTGGATTCAAGAGAAATCGAGTAAAAACTAGCTGCATGGCAGCGACTCGGCGAGTCGGGATGAGCGGCTCGGCGAGTCGGGTCGCGAGTCCCCGATTCCTTCGTTTTTAGCAGTGTCGAGTGCACCCAGTGAGTTAGAGAGTGGACTCAGCGAGTTGAGGGTAGACTCAGTGATGGAGGGACTCGACGAGTTGTTCATACAACTCGGCGAGTCCAAGGCAATCTCCTTAAGATCAAGAACAACTCGTCGAGTCTGTTCATACGACTCGGCGAGTCGGATGAAGCCGAGTCGTATGAAGATTGTCTGAGTTCTTGGATCAAGAGGGTACTCGTCGAGTCGATGCCACACTCGACGAGTCGCAGTGAGTATGAGTTGGAAGTGAGAGTGAGACTCGGCGAGTTGGGCGGCCCAACTCGGCGAGTCAGCCCCAAAAGTAGGTTGACTTTGAACTAGGGTAAAAGAGTCATTTTACCCCAAGTGCAGTGTTTAGTATTTGATTGAGTGTGTTCATGAACTTGTAGCCGAGGAGATTCAGGAGCAGCAGCCGTTAGCTTTCAGAGCCACACACTCAGCAGCCAGCTTACGAGGTGAGTTTCCTTCCAGTAGGAACGGGTCTAAGGCCACAATGCCGGCCCGTTCAGTTAGCAGTAGTTTCCGGATTTAGGTCTGATGCAGTAGTTAGTATGTTCGATGCCTTCGTGGTTCGAACAGGATTTGTGTGCTATGTTTTATATGTAAGTATTATGTGTTCCGGGCCACGGCCCGATGTAGCATGTCGTATATGTGTTATGCTAGTTGATGTGTTATGTTATGCCATGTTCAGTCAGTCAGTTCCGGACTTCGGTCCGATGCAGTTAGTTCCGGACTTCGGTCCGATGCAGGGGACAAGGTCCCAGTCAGTTCCAGACTTCGGTCCGATGCAGTCAGTTCCGGACTTCGGTCCGATGCAGTTAGTTCCGGACTTCGGTCCGATGCAGGGGACAAGGTCCCAGTCAGTTCCGGACTTCGGTCCGATGCAGTTTCCGGGCTTCGGCCCGATGCAGTGGGCAAGGCCCAATATGTGTTTATATGTTATTGTATGGTATGTGGTAGTTTGGGGGAGCTCACTAAGCTTCGTGCTTACAGTTTCAGTTTTGGTTTCAGGTACTTCCGCAAGCAAAGGGAAGAGCTCGGAGTGACAGCATCGCACACACACACCGCAGCATAGCTTTTATCCTGGGGATGTCTCTTGATGTTTTGGATTGATGTAGTATGATACAGTTTTCCGCACAATATTTTATTATGTTTTGGGGATACATCGCGTGTGTTTATGTTATGATACTTATATTATGGTTTTGATTATATGGAAAAACGAAAATTTTTGGGTCGTGTTTTTGGGTCGTTTCACAAAGCCTGGTTCCTAGTCAAACCCCCTTGTAAGTGAGCTATGCTTACCCTACTTTAAGTATAGCTTATGTTTAAGTTTATTATCGTTGTTATGAACTTATAAACAATAAATGTGCTAAGTATAATAAAATATAAAGTATTATTATAATATATTTTAACTACTCGCTATACGGAAAATCTGGTTTGAAAGGTCGCATAGGGTTGTTGAATTTAAGAACAGCTATAATGCCAAAATGGTCCTGCCCTCCGGTGTTTCATGTCTGGCCTTTGTTTGTGCATATTAGTTGAAAATTATTGTTGAACACTTATAAAACAATATTGCTCGTAAATCTAGACTAATAATTAGTCGCAATAAATATTAGACTAAAATCTAGTGGTAATAATACTCGGTTTCGTCGAAGGAAATAAAATTGTTAGAAGCGAAATGTTGCCCGAGTTTGGATCCATCACTTTAACAAATGGGTGCATAGTTACTTTCATCTTACACATAGTTATAAAGTATTTAATATAAATTATGTTCTATGTGTGCATATTATCTGTGTTCTTGATGTTTATGCTGGATGAACAAAATATACATGTTTTTATTTGATTTAAATTGTATATGTATTTTATACCTATAATTATGATGGGTAAAGACGGGTAGATGATATAGATGATGAAATAAATGATGAGAGGCCTCAACGTTTACGATGATCCAGTCATCTAGCATAGTATAGATGAAGATCACGGATTGTTCTACACAGTCTAGTGGAACGCTAGCAGGCTCGCAACATGTAGGTGTTTATTTCAACTACATGTTCACCAGGTGTACTCCATCCCCCTCATGGTTGCCTTAGTTGACATATATTGTTGAGGAATCCCCTAAGCAGTGTTGTCATCCCGATGAAAATCCTTAGGTTAGGTCCCTTAATTTAGATGTTTTAGGGACAGAAAGTAAGGATAACGGGAATGAGTAATCGTGTTGATTGATTTGATGAAATTGGTAAACTTAATTATTGTGGGTTGAAAACCCTATGTGCTCACCAGGCTCTCAAGTCTGACCCACTCAGTTTTTTGTATTACAAGTAGTGGTACAAGAGCATAGATGAGATGATCTAATGAAAGATTATGGATTATAGATCAATAGAAATAAATAGAATGTTGTAAGGTCTATGTTGTTTCTGTTTATGCTTTTGATCTGTATTGATAATGACATCCCAAGGTTTTTAATATAATGAAAATACACTCTTCAGAAATGCTTTGATAAGTTCTTTATCATATTTTTGGAACAAACTCTGCAACATATTTCTTCAAAAGTATATTCTGATTTTCAAGTCAAACATAAACAAATCAGTCTTTTCTGACCGTGAAAATGGAGATATCACACAAATCAACATCCTTACCACTAACTTGGAAGTTTTTTTGTGTTATATTTGCTCAAACATTATATATAATGTATAACACTGATGACAATTATTATTATTATTATTATTATTATTATTATTATTATTATTATCATCATCATCATCATCATCATCATCAATCAATATAGAGTATTAGGGTAAAATGATCATTTTGCATCAGTTAGCACATTCAATCATATGTATAATCAAACAACATGTTTTTTTACTCAGTTAGAATTTATTACTCAAACAAACATTTCAGTAGCATTTTCTCAATCAGCAACTATTAAATGAAACCTAAAACTGTTAAAAAGATCCCCAATTAATCTAAAAAATATTATATACGGTGATTTAAATATTTAGATAATTAAATATGCCAAAGTTTTATGGTTATATTTTATTAGGATATAAATCATATTTATTTTTTAAAAGATAGATTTTTTTACAATTAAGGATCTCCGCCTAGGTGCCGATTAATCTCCACCTAGACTGATTAGTCACTTAACCTCAGTCGACCGTCCGACCACCGACTAGCGACTTTTACAATAATAAAGGTCATTGCAGTTTTCTTTTTAGTTTTTGTTTTTCTTTTAAACATAAATATCACTATATATACCATTGGTATAAAAAAAACCACCACACCCCATTTATAGGCAAAGTGTGGCAAAAACTGTCAAAGCTTATGTGACGTCTATACCATTAACAAAAATATCATCGCAAACAAGAAAAAGTTAGAACTTTCAAAAACTAAAATTTAAAAAGCACTATATCAATTCAATATCATATAATAGTTATAAGCCTTTTGTAGCTTTCAATATAATGATTTGTGTTTTTGTATATTGGTTCCAATAGTCAAACTTGTGAACCCCTTTCTATTAAATGAGTTATAAATTATCATGTACAAATCTTGGTGCATTGAGTACACCTGGTTCTAAAAAGGTTGCCAGCTACTGTTCACATGGCGAATTATTAAACACATGACATAAGCCTTACATTTGAATTGACATCATCATCACATTGGCCAAAATTTCACATTGGAAAATCAAATGCCCAATTTGCATCTTTATAGCTTTCGCTGTCTCTATATGTTTGTCTATTCAGTATGGTGTGCATAGTTTTTCATATTTCTTATAAAATAATAAAATATTACTTGTGCATATTTCATGGGCCCTACGTGTTACCACGTATTATTTAATTATGTAGAATCCTTTGAATAACAGGCGTTATACTTTTCATCACCAATTTGTTTCATACGTAGAATTTCCATTTATGCATGAGGCCTCTTATCGAAAGTATTTATTTTGTTCTTATGGTTTTATTGAAACCGACAATATGTTGGTGTTTGTTGGTTAGAAATCATCAATTTTTTGTATGAAATAAAATTAATGGACTAAAATAATAGAAATAAAATATAAAACGACTAATTAATTAAATATATTTTATGATTCAGGATATTCAGAACCTGTTTTTATCCATATAGGTATATTCCAAAAAATAACAACAATATACTTTAACTTATCTATATATTATAAAATATTACTTTGATTCTTTCTCAATTTCATATTTATACAGTATAAAGTTATAACAGTGAAAACCCGATTAAATTATCATGAAGAAATAAAATACCAATATAATGAAAAAATTGACAAATATTATAATTTATTGTGTTTATGTTGGTCTCATATGCACCACTTTCTTTCTCTTACAAAGAGAACACAAATTAAAACACCCTCTACCCATATTTGCTTATATATATCGCCATCTAACTTCATTCATCTTCCAACTTTTATCACTTACTTCTCTATCTATACCCCCTAATCTGTCTGCAATGGAAAGAACGCCGCACATAGCCATTGTACCAAGTCCAGGCATGGGTCATCTGATCCCTTTGGTTGAGTTTGCAAAGAGACTGACGAATAACCATAACATCTCTGCAACTTTCATCATCCCAAACGATGGACCTTTATCCAAATCACAAACCGCTTTTCTTGATTCACTCCCAAATGGATTAAACTACCTTCTTCTTCCTCCTGTCAATTTCGATGACTTACCCCAAGATACCCAAATAGAAACCCGAATCAGTCTTATGGTTACACGGTCTCTACCTTCCCTTCGCCAAGTCTTCAAGTCGTTAGTTGCAGAAAAACACATGGTGGCTCTGTTTATTGATCTTTTTGGTACAGATGCTTTTGATGTTGCTATTGAATTTGGAGTTTCTCCTTATGTGTTCTTCCCTTCAACTGCTATGGCGTTGTCTTTGTTTCTTCATTTGCCGAAGCTTGATCAAGAGGTTTCATGTGAGTATAGGGACTTGCCTGAACCGGTTCAGATCCCTGGGTGCATACCGGTTCGTGGACAGGACCTACTTGATCCGGTTCAGGACAGAAAGAATGATGCATACAAATGGGTGCTTCATAACGCAAAGAGGTATATGATGGCTGAGGGTATAGCGGTAAATAGCTTCAAGGAGTTGGAGGGTGGAGCCCTGAAAGTTTTGCTACAGGAGGAGCCAGGTAAGCCAAAGGTTTATCCGGTTGGGCCATTAATACAACAGACCGGTTCAAGTAGTGATCTGGATGGTTCAGAGTGTTTGAGGTGGTTAGATGGTCAGCCATGTGGTTCGGTTTTGTATATATCTTTTGGTAGCGGTGGAACCCTCTCCTCTAGTCAACTCAACGAGTTAGCCATGGGTTTGGAGCTAAGTGAACAAAGGTTCCTATGGGTGGTTAGAAGTCCAAACGACCAACCCAACGCCACATACTTTAATTCTTACGGCCATAACGACCCTTTAGGCTTCTTACCTCAAGGGTTCTTGGAAAGAACCAAAAATATTGGGTTTGTGGTCCCTTCCTGGGCCCCACAGGCCCAGATCCTAGGCCACAGTTCCACAGGTGGGTTCTTAACCCACTGTGGTTGGAACTCGATTCTTGAAACTGTAGTCCATGGTGTTCCTGTAATCGCTTGGCCGCTTTATGCAGAACAAAAGATGAATGCGGTATCTTTAAACGAGGGTATGAAAGTGGCATTAAGGCCCAAAGTTGGAGAAAATGGCATTGTGGGACGTGTTGAGATCGCGAGGGTTGTAAAGGGTTTGTTGGAGGGAGAGGAAGGGAAAGGGATTAGGAGCCGTATTCGGGATCTTAAAGATGCAGCTGCTAATGTTCTTAGTAAGGATGGGTGTTCTACAAAAACCTTAGCTCAGTTGGCTTCCAAATTGAAAAACAAAAGTTAAGTCTTTAGATTGTCAAGTATGTAAACACTATTTCTATTTTTTATTTCCTTTTGTGTAATAATCTGTTTTGTGAATTTTATTTGATGTATGATAATAATTCAAGTCCATATATATATATATATATATATATATATATATATATATATATATATATATATATCATGTGTTCATGACAAGCATACGCTAAACGAATCAAGTTTGATTGGTATTAGATCATCTTTATTGGTTATCAAATAAAATGTATAATTTTGCTAAAAATATAAGATATTATAGATAAAATAGCAATAATGTAGTTAGGCAAACAAGATTGGAAATACCAAAATCGTCAAAAACAACTTGTCAATTTTGTTTTATTTCCTTTTTATTTTACAATTAAAAAGTGAGAAATAAAATAAAATAACTATTACACTAAACTCAAGACAAAAGTCTAAATAAATGATTAGCAACTAGAGTTGAGCACTGGGCCCGGGCTTTCGGACCTGACCCATCCCATGGGTCAAGCTTCACAAGATTTGTACAGTAAACAAACAGATAAGTCAAGAAAGGCTTTCGGGTCTGTGCAAACAAATAATCCAAACGCATGCATGAGCTTTGCTTGCCTTAATCCCGATTAGGCTTGCGGGGTGGAGCGGGTAGCGTGAAAACGGTTAAAAAATAGTTAAATCACAGCATTTAGCATCAAGTTATTTTTATTTATATACTATTTATAAAACTAGTTGTAAGACTATCTATTACATGGGTTAATTTAAAAAAATAATAATAATAATAATAATAAATATAAAGTCAAAATATTTGAAAATTTTGAATTTATAAGAAAATAATAAAAATAATAAATTATTATAATGTAAATGTTTTTTATTTTTTAAATTTAAATAAATAAAATAAACTAATGAGCTTTAATTTTAGGAATTTTGAAATTAAAAGGCGGGTTTATTAATGAAATTAATATACATTTATTATTACATTTATTGCAATTATTATATTAAAATATTATGTAGAATTTAATAAAATAAAAAAAAACTCATAAAATGACATGTGGAAAAAAAATTCAAAATAACCATAAAATCACATTTGGTAAACTGGATGAGAATGAAATAAGTGGCAAAAAAACATTTATTTATTAGAGAGGATTATATGTCTAGATTATTATATTTTTACATTAGAGCCATGTATTTTCTTTTGTCACCTGGTTTCACACCTGAACACATGTGGTTAGTGTTGGGGAGTAATAAATTATGCAGGGTAATGGTGGAGAACCAGATTCTTTGTGGATCGTGTAATTTCACTTTTCGAACTGATATTTCCACCTTATGTATGGTTACATGAAATCCAGTCTAGGATAATTTAAAATTACATTTGTGTATCTAGGCACAGAAACACAAGCCAAATCGTTAGAGAGTTATGAGTTCGTTTGAGAAGAAGAAGAAGAAATAAGAAGGTTTCTATGTGGCTCAAAAGAAAAGTCGTATATATACATGACAGATTAAGGTTTTTATCTTCTAAATTAGATTGGAGAATCTCGAACTTAATGGTATAATCAATGGTTTCCAAAACTGACAAGATTTGTCAATCTTATCATAATCACCCACTAGAATTCAGTTATTCCATAATGAAACTAATTCAACTTTCCGAAGATCTTTTAGGGCGCTGCCCTCGACCCCGTTCGCTAAAGAGGAGCGCGGCCCCATTGACCACTATCATTCTATCGTACCGGCTTATAACTCGATCTTATAAATGCATGCACTCCGCATTCACCAAACATATAATATAGAGTACAAAAAAAATAAGCTCTTTAGTTCACATATTAGATTCAATTACACAAAATACCTGGTGACACTAAAATCATCAATAGTTAGAGTTAAAGTGCACCTGGTTTATATGTAACATAACCTACTATCAAGTTTTTCTAGTTTTTTTCATGTGAAACCACATCCTTATTATAGCATCTTACTATCAAGTTCAATGATTCACTTCTGGTTATAGGTGCACATGGGATGCTATAACAGGATTTGACATGAAGCAAAGTACAATGCTTTAAAAATATGATACATTATATGTATGTTGTTATTACTTGAAAAAAGACGTAACCTGGAATTTTTCCACTTGAAATGAAAGTGTAATGAAATTAAAAAAAAATTATAGGAATCATGCTATAATTGAAAGAAATGAAAGTAATATGCTATAATGAACAAACCAATAAAAATATGTTGTTACTTAAAAAAATGGGGAAAATGCCCGAAAAAACACGGGCTTTAACAACAGTACTGCCCAATGTGGAACCTATCGGGCCAGTTTTCCAGCTATAAAGCTTGGGTCGGGTTTGATTATTTTATTTCCCATTATCAGACCTCTTTTTAGAGTTAAAGTCACATGTAGTCACTTGGTAGAGCAATTAAGGAGACGGGGTATCACTAATCGTAGTTGTAATGTCCCGGTTTTCAACCCATATTTTTCATTTTTATATATTCAACTATATCATAGTATAATTACGTTATACGGAAACATGTTATGAATACGCATGTGTATAATCGAACCTTGCCCTTCACATGAGTACAGGAAAAACATTTATATTCAACTGGATAAGCACGAAGCTTAGTGAGTTCCCTAAAATATTATATACCACAATACATATACAATGCATACACATAATGGCATTCAGCATAAAGATGGTTCGCCCTTGGCCTTCAGCACGAAGCTAGTCCAACCTTTTTACCTTTAGCATAAAGTTGGTCCTTCACCTTGTCCTTCAGCACCACTATTAAATAAAACGCATGCATAAGAGTTGTTGAGGGGAAACGTACCAGTCACCACTGTTAGATCGTGCACCGCTTCTCCTTGCCCCATGGTTAAGGCCCTTCCTGCGTTCTGATTGTTGTTCTTGGGGCAGTTGCGTTTAAAATGGTTGCTTTCTCCGCATCCATAGCATGCGCGGCTGGCTCCGACGTTGTTGTCGTTGGATTGTTTGTTTTGTTGCGGGGGCATTTTGCAATAATGGACAGTGTATCCCTTTCGATTGTAGTTGGTACATTGGGAATCCTTGCATGCCCCGTAATGGTGATAGTTACACTTGTCACACTTGGGATTGGATCCCACGTATGACTTGGTTGGCGTTGTTGTGGTTGAGGCTGGGGCGGTTGGGGATGGTGTGGCTGGAGCGGTAGTAGAATGGATTGCTACTTTCTAGGGTTTCTTGGATGACATGCATCCTGTCATCCCTTTCGCTTGTTTCCCAAACTCTTTTTCTTTCCTCCTTCCTTTTTGCTCTCTCCCTCGGTTGTTTTGGTGCTTTTCTTATTGATGTGATCATAAAGTTTCTTGGCCAGGCGCTTCGCGCTGTCATAGGTCTCAGGTTTTTAGGCAATTATGTTTCCCTGAATGGGAGGCATCAACCCCCAGATGAATCGTTCGACCCTTTTTTCATTCGGATGTAATCATACCAGGACACAGGAGGGATAGCTCGTTAAACCTTGATATGTACGCGTTAATGTCTGAGTTCTACACTGTAAGGTTCCACAACTCTTGCTAAAGATTTTGCACCTCCCTTCAGGGACAGTACTCAACGACCATCATTTCTTTGAGTTCTTCCCGGGACATGGCGTTTGCAACGGGGAGTGTCATGGCCTCAATGTGGCCGTTCCACCACGACAATGCTTGATTAATGAAGGTGCAGGAAGCGAATTTGACCTTAATTTCTTCCATACATTCACATATTTCGAACACCAATTCCATCTTCTCGATCCATCGTTTTAAGGCTATGACCCCTCTAGTCCCGTTGAAAGTGCGAGGTCTTGCATTAGAAAAATCTTTATAGGTCTAGGCCCTTACATGTCCTTGATTCATCCCCTGATGGGAGCTTCCTGTCCCTTGACCATTTCCACCATTATTTCCGCTTTGAATGTGGGCTAATGTTGTTGTTACTATTGCCGAAACTACCGCTTGAAAAGCTGCAGAGTTCATTTCCGGTGGGGGCGACGGTGGTGGTGTTGTGTTGTTGTTCTTTCGGATTGGTCTCCTCGGCATCTTTCTGTCATGGATCATAAGGACAATTAGTATTCAATGCATTTCGTTTCACGATTTCTTGAGTATAGAATAGTATCGGTGATTTGGGTGCATATGAACCAGTGTGTGTATAAATTCAACATATAATAGTAGCAATAAAGCACACAATAGGCAACACATCATAAGAAAATATATATCCGCTTTTCATTGATAACAATTTCTTGAGTACATGAAAATTTTTCCTTATAACGGCATACAATACATATAGTGAAATAAAACTAACACGAAAATACATAGGGTAGTGCAAAGAAGGAAGTCGATACGGTGGCGAGTGAACGGGTACTAGTAGCGATGAGTCGGTTCTGATGGTGCAGACGATGAGGTAGATGCACCCTGGAGCTCAGCTAACCTGCATTTGGTGATTTACACGCGTTCTTCCAAAGCGGCGTGTCCCTCCTGGTATTCTCTGACCTCCGCTCGTGTAGTGGCAAGATCTTCCACGAGTCACTCCATCGGATAGAAGTCTCGCTCAAGGTCTCGCGTGCGAGTATCTGTGATCTGCATAGCCGTCGGCATCTACATTACTCGGTCGGCGGTTACTTAAGCCTGGGCACCGATGTCCCTTATACGTCTGACCATGACAGAGAGTGTGCGATCTGCTGGTCCTCCATGTCGAAGATCGTAGTAACCTTGGTTCATCCCAAATGGTGGTTGTTGACCCTGGCATCGCCCCCATCTCTCGATATCATCAGCCCAAGGAGGTATAGGGCCATTTTAGCCCATCCTAAATGGTGGTACGCTTACCATGTAGGGAGGGTTGATAACCTCAGACTCTGCGTCTGATTCCTTGTCCACCTCAACCTCTTCCTCGTCATCTTCCTCAACTTCTTCATCGACGTCCTCTTCTTCAGACTTTATCGGTTCTTCGAGATCCTCCATGGGTTCCTCGGGGTCTTCTTTTGGGTCTTCTTCAATCCAACCTCCGTTCCCCTAATTGGGAA